TATATATATATATATATATATATATATATTCTATAAATATATGTTTACTGTTTATAGATTTTTAACTGACAAGGTTACATATTGCATGCTTAGAGATGACAATGCTGGTTTAATGTCATAATATATACAGTGTAGCTATAAACGATTATATTTACGCATACATTTTTTTAATATATTTTCATACGCATTTGCATGATTGTCTATTACTGTGCTGTGTGCTGCTGGATAAACTTTTGTTACTCAGTACACATTTTTAAAGTAGCATATTATCTAAATCTAAGCATGCTTCTTATAGTATTTTACCATTGTCCCAGTTAACAAAAAGATGACAAACTGGATAAAACACGTCAAGCTATAATGGACTTAATGCAGCAAACAGACTTACATCGGTGTGCTTTGAGTCCCTCAAAAGACACGGGCTCTTCGTCGTCGTAGTATTCGTAGCTCCATTCATAATTGTGATTTGGCATACTAGTGCTGTTTAAATGCTGGAACCTCGGCATCTTAAATCACAGATCAAAACTGATAATAACAGCGCTTAGGGGAAAGATACATCACAGTTTCTCACAGCAGTCAGTGCGCGCGGTCCACGCAACACAATCATCTGCTGCATTCAGAGCTGAGAACGTAAGCAGCTGTTTTAACACCGATACTGCCAATGAATTCATCCTTATCCTGCGATCATCTCACGTCTGCATGCTCCAAGGCAAAAGTCAAAGACAAAAATGTGGTGTAGGTGGGCGTTCTGTAAGTATCACCGCTAATCGTGAGGTCTCCAGTGGTCTCGAGAGAATGTACTGAATATATAATGAGATCACGCATCTCTCACATCCATCAGCTCGCGTGTGAATGGAGAGATTTCACGCGCCTCTTTCTTTCAATATTTTACAGCCTATATATTTTTTTTACATTTATAATAATTATACGCTTAGCATTTGTCACACTTTTTACTCCAATCAGTATTTTCGGTATAGCCTAGTTTTTATTGTATTTTTTATTGTTTTTCTACTCTTACTGTGTGGGCACTAACATTAGTCTTGGTTGCAAAAAAACACTATTAGGAAAAAATACAGTTCATTGAACATAGCCTACTTTCGTTTGTGACAACATGCCCCGTTGTGTTACACTATCCATTCATTTTTCAGCGCGAAAGAAAGCTATTTTATCTGAATGTGCGAAATCAGTGTATCTTGCGTCCATTTAATATGAAAAATTAGAAATTAGAAAACGGTTCCTGACTTCCGATTCATTGGCCGCCATAGTTAATAAGTAGAAGAATAACAAAAGTGCAGTAAAGGGTAAAACTATTTGCGCTACAGATCAGTGTGTTTATAATTACGACAATGCATTAAAATAAAAAGATACGAAATAATTGGTTGCAATACTGTACTGATAAAAATAACGGGGAGCGAAATGACACCGGAAGTCTCGCACATTCACGTTACAAATGGACTCGCCTGCACTTGTCTAAACAAGGTGGATGTGGGGTAAGTTGCCACAAACAAGGTGGAAGTGGAGTTAGCACAATTAAACTATTTTAGGCGTTTCAGCAACATTAGCTTTTTAAAGAAATATCAAACAGGAAAAGCAAGAGGTAAAATAAATATCAAATCGTTGTTTTGGGCAAAAGAACAAGACATTAATTAAAAAACTTTTTTTTTAAACACGTGGCAACTTTTTTGCATAGGGTAATGACAAGTTTCAGCTGTTAATATGTAAACCTTTCAAACACTGTAGTGGTCAATACCAACATCTTTTAACTGGATAACAACACTTAAGTGATGTACTGTTTCTGGGTTAGTTATTGATTGAAGGTGCAAGGTGCCGTCTTATGTTGCTGAGACAAGAACTACAGAATATTGCAGCATGCTCAGGAAACGGAAACTGTCAGACATGTTAGTGCATATTTGTGCAGCAGGCAGAGACGTTTAATGAGGAGCTTCAGCCCTGGGACTTGTCTCACAGTAAATGAGACAAATGTTATTTATGATGCATGCTAATTAAAGCAGCATGTCTGACTAGTTTCATCTGTAAAAAAGGTCAGAGGTCAGACATTTAGTTTTATTTAATAAACCACCCAATAATCAATAATGATTGGAGTTTATAAAAAGCACATATATGCATGTTACTGTATGTTGCTATTATTATTATTAATCATAAAAAATAATATGTCTCGTATCTGCCATCAGCAGGGTTATTATAGTTAACTAAAACCATAAAACTATTTTTGTTACTTGACATAAAATAAACTTTTAACAGAAATATATATTTTTTTTAAATCAAATAGATTTTATTTCAGCTAGTTGACAACATTTCTCATTTCATTTAGTTTATCTTATCTTAATAAAATAACTAAAACTAAAAATTAATGAAAACTACACGCATTTAAAATAAACAAGTACTATGAATAAAAAATAATATGTCTCGTATCTGCCATCAGCAGGGTTATTATAGTTAACTAAAACCATAAAACTATTTTTGTTACTTGACATAAAATAAACTTTTAACAGAAATATATATATTTTTTTTAATCAAATAGATTTTATTTCAGCTAGTTGACAACATTTCTCATTTCATTTAGTTTATCTTATCTTAATAAAATAACTAAAACTAAAAATTTATGAAAACTACAGGCATTTAAAATAAACAAGTACTATGGTACTAAAATAACCCTGCTATTCAGTGCTTTTAGCCTCATCATTTTGTAATATTTTTTCTAATAGTTTGTTTATTTGCTTATTTTATTCAGTTATTCTTATTCATTTATTATATTAGTACCTCATTATGAATTTGTGAAATATAAAATGAATAAGTTGTTCATCAGACATGCCGAGCTGTGAAAGCAATTAGTAAAAACTACTACCATATGCTAAATTTTATTTTATTTTTTTCATCCTTTTTTTAAAAAAGTGTGAAAGACAGTTACAGATTCATGAAAGCTTCTCAGATAATGATTGTTGGATAATTAATAAACCCAATAAAGCATTTAAAACAGCATAAAAAAAACAGCATACAATTTCAAATCACATATAAAAAGTTCAACTGCCTTGAACAACACATATACATTTAGCAGAAATTTCAAAGCTCCAGACTTTAATTCAGTGAAAATGTCAGTATTGATGTCACTGTTTGCAAACAAAGAGGATGTTCCGGTCCTCTTCGATGACATCAGCAGCTCAGTATCTTTGAAATATAAAACAAAACATGCAAGAAATGATTGTAGCACTGTTATCTGACATGTAACACAATAATAAATGATCACACTGCTGTAGCTATTATGATATATTAACAGTGCAGAACCGTGCACTCAATAGAGATTTCATCAATCCCTGTGATAGACAGCTGTGACTAAATTTTGATTTATGCCAGAACAATGCATTCTATGAGAATAACAGTCACTCCGGGCTGTGTACTGTAAAGCATCATAGAGCAAAGATGAATGAGAGCCAGCAAAACGTTACTTAGCTTGTGGCTAGTTGGTTCAACTCACTTTTGTTTGGTCCGTTGTTGACTGTCATTTTCATGTTTGCAGGCAGATGTGCAGCACGAGCAGTCCTGCTAATATTCCGTAGTGTCTGTACACTGACACTGAATCCTAAAAAGCAGCAAGAGTTCATTAAGCAGTCAGTATAGATATCTTCTCTCAGTCAAATGTTGAGAAAGTTTGCTTTTTGATTTCCTATTTGGCCTGCAGCGTTCTTGGTAAAACAAAGCCATCAAACAAATGCTTGTTCAAAAGATGTTCCTTGAAGTTTCTACAGACCCATTTTTTGCTCTAGCAAATCTGTGCATCTTTCCTGTCATCCTTCCTTTTATGTGTCTGCTTAATTATTCATTCCTTCATTTTATGCCGTGACGATCATGGCCAATTTAATTCTATTCATTTCAATTGTCACAAGTACCAAAAAAAAAGAAGGTGGTTAATCGGGTTTTTTTTAATGAAATGCCTGTGGATAACAAACGATAGAGAGTTTATGCCACTGTACCGTATTCCCTTGATTGGGGAGAACTTTGGGCTCATCATAGATAATACTTTGCATTGCGGAGCCATCTGAAATGGAAACAAGCCATAAAAAACAGTTACATTTATGGTAATACACATACTTTGCCAATATTTGCAACCAATTTTATTTCGGTAACACTACTCATTTTTTAGGGAACAATGTTAGGAGTAATTTTATCCATCAGGAATTGACTGAATTGTAAAAACTAAGCGTTACATACCAGAATCAAGCCAGACCGAATGGACATTTGCTAAAACAGCATCTAAATAGCTATGCCTATTGGTTAACATTATCCATTTTTATTACGTGAATCTCTGGAATACTCAACTCT